TTATATTTTATTTATTTGAGCGCCTTTCTTTGCAGATATGAAGCGCTTCTTTCCTGGTCAATGGGTCCACATGCTGAAGTGTTGCTGCTGTATGCAGCACAGAAGCAGGGAACCCCACCGGGTACCCATAAAAACTTCCTTGCTCAACTACAAAAGTGAAATGCACAGTGAGGAATTGACCAATCCAGCTGTGCACCAAACTACTGCTGCAATAGTATATACATATAGATTGGACATTCCTCAGCAATTTATCGTAGTCATTACTTTATTTATTTATTCTTGTCTGCTAGGTTGAAAGACTTTTTCAATCAAACGTGTTATTGCTGAGGAAGAGCACAGGGGGTCTCGAAATATTCAAATTAAAATATCTTTATGTTAACGTATATGTTTCTACTTTGTGCAATCCTACTTATTTTATATATTAACTATACTATTCAAGATGCTTTGTATATGGTGTATATTTGAAAAACCTACTGGTCAATAAAATACAGGTAGAGGCGTTCAGTAATTACATCCTTCCAAAACGAAAGGGTCTAAAGTGAACCAGAGTACTGGTGTACAGTAGGCCCCCTTCCTATTCTTTTAAAAGGATGCACTGAATTCTTCAGTGAACATGTGAAAGATGTGTACACTAGGCCTTTGGCATTGAGTTCTTATCTAAGGAAATGTCCACCAACTGAACCTTGAGCTAGGAGGCATAAAGGCTAGTTTGTGGAGAGTCTCCTTCCCCACCTTTCCCTTGCCACTACACCATTTGTAAGCCAATTGCTCACTTACCCATCTCTTCCTAGAAGGAACACAGCAGGAATATTGACCAGCCTGTTAGTACCATCATCAACCATGTCAATGAACTGCCAATCACTACTCGAATCCTTGTCGTATATTATTGTTGCCATAGCACCTGCTTGCTCGGCATTAAAGGTTTTTGAAAGAAAAGAGCATTCCCTACAAAGATAAAAAAAAAAACATGGTAATAATATAACAGCAGCATTCATACATCTAGAAATTACCCATGATGTTATACATTCACTAATTAGAAATTAGTGTTATTTTCTGGTTGTTATTCAGCTTCAGACCAGCTTGTGTGTCATCCTTGATTCTTGTAAGAAATTTATTTTTTTTTATTTATTTATTATCTATTTATTCATGCTTTTAAACTATTTTTGAATTAAACATATTTTTGTATACACTGCATAGGATCAACCAATACAAATTTCATTTTTCCCATGTTTTTGAAATGACAATTAAGGAGTATTGTATCATATTTTATAAGTTTCAACTAAAAGGTCTAGAACTGCTACTTTCTTCTTCTGTTTTTTAAAAATTTATTCATTACAGAATGTGAAGCAAAATAAGAAAAAACAAATGCAAACTTATGACAATACCCGCAAGGCCTGCAACCAGGATGAGGATGTTTTCTGATCTTCACTTTCAGCAAACTACCCCTTCACATATAAACAATTCTTTGTACCCAAACTTCAAAATGGCATTACAGGTTTCCCTCCAATTAAAGACCACTCCAATTAAAGACTATTATTTGGTGGTCCCAAATTAACAAGTCTTTATGTCTTTTATCTTTATTATTCTAGAGACCAAAGCTCCTAAGACCATGGAAACCCCAGTCTCAAAAGCGGTCTTTAATTGGACAAAGATTTGCCTGTATGTAATGGTATGCAAAATCTTCTTCTTATCATGTCCAAACACATGCTAGATAATTTGTTGCAGCCAGAGCTGGACACAGTTCCTAGCAAATTATTGTTGTCTACAGTACAGGGTTCATCAGATGTTGTAATGAAAATGGTGATACAAGTGTTGACTTGATCTGGTGTGTGGTGGTGGTAGAATTAGTGTTATTCAGGGCTGCGATGAGGACGCTTTTACCATGATTCCGTATTATTATAAATAAATTTAAAACTTGAGTCTTATCAAATACAATAATATAAACTCACCCCCTCTGAATCAATACAACACTATTTTCTACTAAATACTGATTTTGCAATCTCGAACATCCATGCAGGGGATCTGCTAAAACAAGACTTATGCGGCTATACTGCAAATTCTGATTGCAAAAGAAGAAAATTTGTGACAATAACTGGATAATGAGGGAAAAAACGGTTGAATGTTTAAAGTCGGGCACTCATTGCATTGTTTGATGGTCCGACCTGTGAGTGCTAGACGATGCGACATCGTCTGCCGATTGTTGGTGGCAGTCTGAAAAATGATTCATTACGCACATCGTTGCCTTGTGTTCTCAATAGAATCGCATCGGCCGGCAACATTTGGGTGCAATGAGCCCCCTGCTTTAGGTGAAAAAAATGTTTAATTGAGCCACCATTGTACAATTTAAAAATTGGTTAGCATACATATGTTATCAATTTTCATGGTAGGGAGGGAGGATTTTTTTTTCTTGCATCAAACATGAAAAAAGAGTGTCAAAAGGAAAAACAGCAAAACAGAAAAAGAAAACCAAACAAGAAATTATGTAATTCATCTATAGCAAGCAGAAACTACTGTATAGAACAACAGTAGAGCATAGGACTGCATGTGGTCTGGCTTAGCGCGCGGACGGGTGGTAAACAAACCTATTAAATGGAGTTTGTGAGTGGTTTGTTAAAAAAAAAATCGGGTTGGTGGCCTCTCTAATGCTAGGGAGGGGTGCTAACCAATTATTTTATTTTACATGGCCTTAGATGTAACATTGAATGATCTTTTTTGCATCACTTTACTGATGACCTGTATTCAACGTCCATCTTGTAAGTGGCGATTTTTTCGCTGTTGGTTTGGAAATAAATAAAATAAAATAAAAATAAATAAATAAATAATGAATTTCATTTGGAATGCATTCTACTAAAAAAAAAAATTCAAAGGTATGACAATTATTCTCATTTCAAAATTATGATGTTTATACATAATTAAGTAACGTGACTGCAGTATTGAAAAAAAATATACATTAAAAAAAGCGCTACTTGCAGAGAAAATTATAATTATTTACATTAATTATTGTTATATCTAATAAAAATGTATAATATTACTAAAAGTCCATAAATGATTACAGAGACTAGAGGTATTAAAACCATTATTACTTACAAATATTCCTCCAAATGTCCTTGCTTGACGAACTTTAAATACGTAATTCAATGATTCTGGTTCAAGGATTTCAAAGTATAAATACTCATGAGCAGAATATCCTGTAAAAACAAATACAGTGTACTATTAAAAACTAAATGGCCGAGCTAGAGGCACAATGAGAGCCTTCCATCCTGGGTAAATTACTTACTGACCAATTAGGATGTGTTATTAAACATTCGGAAATACACTGCATGTCCCTCAAATTATTTGATTTTACATTCCATTATTCCAACAAAACTAGATAAAATAGTAGATACAATATCATTTACACTATACACAAAATAAATAAATAAATATATAT